CACAGATTGAGCAGGAAAAAGCTTGATGCTTGGTGAAATCTATATAAATCATGGCTGAATCAGAAATTATGGCAAGATATGTGTCCAGTTCAATTCTGCGTGCTGAAAACACTTCACATATAACATCTCCAAATATGCCGAAATCTAAAGGTATAGGACCAATAGGAGCTAGGAGGAAATCAGCTGGGCCATCAGCTGGTTGAGGTGGCTACTTTTCATTAGTAGCTGATCAGTGCTTGACTTCGTGACCTGCCAGAACTAACGCTATGCTTTATTATGTGGAAATACTGAAGCGTCATAAGGATGACAAAATCAAAGTTTTGGAGTGGCCAAAACTTTGATTTCAAGCCCTGATTTCAATCCGATTAAAAATTTATGGGCAGAACTGAAAAGTCATGTGCAAGCAAGGTGGCCTTTTAGGGGAAGCTTGTGGCAGCATATCCAAAGCATTTGACCCAAGTCATACAATTAAAAGGCAGCTACCAAATACTAATGAAACATATGTAAACTTTTGACTCTTGAGAAAATAATTTTAAAAAATTGTCTAAAGAATTCTCTCTCCCATTATTTTGGCATTTAGCATATAATAATAATAATAATAATAATAATAATAATAATAATAATAATAATTTTGCTTATCCTGATTGAGCAAAGAGCAACTGAGTCCAAGACAGATCTACAAGTCTGATTACAAAGACAGACCAGCTCTTCTGTGTTAAAACCTGGGCCAAGATCTGGGTTTAAAGAGAGTGAAAGATGCAGAATCAAACAGCTTCTTAAACTTGTTAGCATACATAATAGGAATTTCAATAAAATGAAAAAATAAAACAACTTTGTGACCTTTGGGTACCTTTGCTATGTGTGCCTCTCAGTTCAAAGATTTTGTTGCTTTCATTCTGTGGTTTGTGACTAAATACTTGAAAAACTAGTATAACCAACCATCTGTCCTGTAGTTGATTCAGTTAGCCAATGTACACATGCTGTAGGGAGTAAGTGAACTGTTTGAGAGTGCTGCTTAAACCTTCAGATGGTCTAAAGTCAGAGTCTTGGTGTTAAATCTAATGCTATGATTTAAACAAGGGAGTGACATGATTTCCCAGCACTTCTTTTTTGAGCTTCACCTCCATTTTTGCATATAAACACTCAATGGCCACTCTACTCAGATTAACCTGATTGTTTGAGGCCAGACCCCATCCCAACTGCTGTAATTCATCATGACAAGTGCAGGGAACACTCCTCAGATTTTGATCCATATTGACATAATCTCTTCACACAGTTGCTGCACATTTGTTGGCTGCTTATCCATGGTTTGGCTTTCCCGACACATCCCACAGGTGCTTTAGTGAAACCTACTGAGTTCATTTGAATGCTGTGAACTCGTTGCCATGTTTAGTAAACAGTCTGAGATGGTTTGAGCTCTGTGACATGGTGCATTATCCTTCTGGAAGTAGCCATCAGAAGACGGTACACTGTGATCAGTCAGCAACAATACTCAGGTTGGTTATGATATTTGAACCATGCACAATCTGTGCTAATGTAACAGATCGAGAAAATTATCTTGCATAAAAATATTGATGTTTTAATCTTTTTTTTTCTCTCTTTTTCATTAATCGGGGTATTTTCTTTGGTGAACTAAAGGGGTGTTCAGACCAAACGCGACCAGGTCGCGTCGCGTTGGTCGGTCGCGTCGCGTCGCGTGGCGCCCTGGTGTGTTCACAACGGGTCCAAAGCTGCGGTCGCAGGATGTGTCTGGTCGCTGCTGACCCGCTTCTCCCACCTTCCTTCTCCCTCCTTTTCTCCCTCATATATACATCCCGCAGCCCCTTCCAGCGCTTGCGGCACACACACACACACACACACGTTGAAACATGTAGCCTACCAAGCAGGGGAAGTTTGCTATGTTTTCAGAAAATAGTCCGCTCACTGAAATAACAACCAGAAAGCACGAAATCATGGGCCACCTTCGCCCATGCCTCCTCCTTGGAGGTGCGGTCCCGGTAAAACACGCACCCCACGTCGTACAGGACCGGGTGATAACTCACGGCAGTGATAAACTGCTCCTCCATTGTGATTCTTCTTCTCCTCCTCCTTGCTTCGCCGGTTTGTTGACGTCAGCAGAGCCCTGATTGGCTGTCGCGGCACGGAGTCGCGGATAGTTGCTCCTAAAGTTCAAATATTTGAACTTTGGGAGCGACACGACTTGGCGTCCTGCGACCTCGGCGACGCGACCTCAGCGACGCGACCTGGTCGCCAAGTCGCGTCAGGTCGCGGCTGTCCATAGACTTTGCATTGGGAGTCATGTATTTGTAAGTCTAATTGTTGGTGTTGTATGAGGGGCAGTACAATGCCTTCTGGTAAGGGGCATCATTATCACTAGATTTTGTGTTTTTCAGACCTCCCTAGCAACTTATGCTGGGCAACCACAAAATGATTTTTACAGTCCCAGACTATAAACTTAAAGTCCTAAGTAAATCTTGGGGCTTTACTGGTGTCACAGTGGAATCACAGTGTGCTCCCATCATTTGATCATTAGGTGGTAATCTGCACTGTTTTATATCAGTCTTTTCCTAGTCTTGGGTATTTTGGTAGACTGAGGCGAACTGAGATGCGCCAAGTTGGGCAGGGTGGCGCAATAAGGGGAGGAGTCGAAAGAATCACCTAGCACAGTGACATTTTCGTGCCCGCCGGCCAATTCGAACCTAGTCAGTAATCAGCACAGGCGGAGCGCAGCTGATCAAGTGGTATTTTGGTGCAGCAGTGCGCATACGTCACCAATGCCTCATAGGCAGGTTTCTACAGTGTCAGGCACATGTTAGTGCAATAAATAATCAACAACCAATATTCAGTGCAACTGTCTGCGTCAGCACATGCATTTACATCTATATTGATTTATTATAATGTATATCTTATCTGATGAGCGCATTTGGCACATGTTTGTACATTAAATTAAATATCCAGTCAAGCGACTCCGAAGACCAACCTTGTCGCTTGAGAGGTAAGTTGTGGGTCCAGTATTTGTCCAACATGCTATTGTTATATCCATAGACAGTTATGAGGCTTAAGATACACTTTACCATGTTTTTAATGATACATCTGCTGGTACGGTCACACAAACAGGACTCTTTTTGGTTTACAGCAGGAACAAACTAAGGGCAAACCAAAGCGATGCAATGCTATACTATGTGATGCGAAGCGATCAGAAGTGAAGCGGTCAACAAAAATTACGGCTACCCCGCTCCCCTCTCTCCTCCTGACTGCAGGTAAGCCATGTCTTTTCATAACTACCCCGCGTTTACCTCGCGCCCCACATGACCCAAACTTCCGTACATTACCACAGCAACCACAAACACCACGTGACACATACAGAAGTACTACCTTGCGGCTCCTACACACCAGCCCCTTACTTATTACTCAATAAATATCATTTGACACTTGGGAGATGCAAATAGCAGCCATATCAAACAACAATTTTACAAGCCTGAAAATTAGTGTCCATCAACAATAATAATCCACACTGGAATCTGCTGTAAGTTTCAAGTCAGCCAAAGTCAAGTGGTCAAACATGTCTCAAAAAAAAAAAAAAAAAGTTCACAGGAAAAATGTGAACAGGAAAGTCCCCACTCAATCACTCGTCCCATCAGCCATGAGTTCTGGGGTTCTGTGCTGTCCATGAATTGGACAAGGTCAACCAAACCGATGTTCCTCCTTGCTACTGTCCATTTCACATCCATAGAAGCTGACTGTTAAAGATGGCCTCAGCCTTGCAAAGCACTGTATGCAAGCCTTCTTCATCCAAATTTAGTACTCCTAAGGTGGAATTGAGTACCTTGCAGACAGATCTTATCAGGTGTTGCCATGGTCCTCCATGGTGTGAACCAGCTGGGGGATTAAAGCTCCATTTTATTCCCTCTGCAGCATGACATCCATTATCTGCTCTCTGTTCCACTGCTCAATAGCTGTCCTCAGTTCTCGCTCTGCTCTTGTAAAGTTGGCACCATTGTCAGAGCAAAGCTCACGGACTTGACCTCCCCTAGAAATAACACGTCAAAGTGCATTGATATCAAGTGCATTGATAAAAGAGTCAGTGTCCAGTGATGGTGCAATTTCAATATGCACTGCTCTGATGGCAAGACAGGTAAAAATCAGGCCATACCTCCACCACGCTTCTCCTGCTCTACTTCAAAGGGACCATAGTAATCAACACCCACACAAGTGAATGGTGGCTCATCAGGCACAATTCTTTCATAGGGTAAGTCAGCCATTTGCTGGTGGACTGGCATAGTGTTTAAGCAGTGACAAAGGACGCACTTTAACAGCACCTTCCTTATAGATGTAGTTGCACCAGTCATCCAGTACCCTTTTTTAACTTTGACAACATGTGATTATGTCCACCATGTCCCACTTGCTGATGTATCTGTCTGTGGAGAAGCTCTGAAATATGGAGATCTTTCGCCAGTATCACAGGGTGTTTCACTTCCACTGGCATAGATGATCTACTGAGTCGTCCGCCAAACCTCAGGACTCCATCTTGCAATTGTGGGCAGAGCTTACGAAGATGACTGGACATCTTAATGGACTGACCTTTCTCCAGACTGGCCAGCTCCTCAGGAAAATGTGTCCGTTGGCAGTATCTGACAATGGCCAGCTCAGCCTGGTCCAAGTAGCCAGCTCACCATGAGACTCCTGGTCCCAGTGGTTCTCTTAAAATTGTTCATTTCCTCTTCCACAAAGGACTCCTGTTGCTCACTGGTGAGGTCAGAGTGTGCCAGGGTCAGATGTAACTGTCTTTTATCTGCACAGGACAAAACCCAGTCCTTAATCCTCCGGATCCACGCCACAGATCTCTTCAGACATGTCCAGGAAGAGAAATACTGGATCAGGTGAGAAACTGGCTCTTCTCCTGCCTGTATAACATTTACCACAGCTGTTTTCTTTACCTCAGGATCTTCAGGGGAAAGCTGGCTGATGTTTCTTGGACTGACAGGCCACTTGCTCTCCGGCTGTAACAGAAAGTGAGGCCCTGACAGCCATGCCATGTTACTTACCTTACAGCCAAGGTAAGTAACTGCCCCATATCCATTCTCACTGACGTCACAAAAATGGTGCAGTTGGGCTGCACAAGCTTCTCCAAACTGAGGCAGTTTCAGACACCTATTGACCTCTAGTTTGTCCAGCAGATGGAGCTGTTGGATCCGTTTTACCCAGTCCTTGGCAATTGATTCAAGTACAGTCTCATCCCAGCCTATCCCTCTCTTGCACAGGACTCCCAGGATTTTCTTGGCTGTCAGGATCACTGGGCTACTCGAGAGGATCATAGATTGAGGCATTGGCTGATAATATTCCTCTTCTGGTAAGTGGTCTGTCCTTAAAATTGACCTTGAACTTAAATTTGTCAGATTTGATAGACCATTCAACACCAAGTACTCTCTCCACAGGTAGAGCATCCAGGTCCATGTCCAACTGCCCCATCCCTCTTGCTCTGAGACTCACAGAGATGGTTTCCAACACACCTGATTTGTTGCTCATCCACTTAATGAGACAAAATCCTCCCTTGGAGCATAAAGAGACCAGTTCTTGGCGCAGCGACACAGCTTCCTCCTCTGTGGCCCCAAACAAATGCACTCTCATCCCGTACTCAGCAGGATGCTTGTTCAGATCTCCATCTTGCCATCAGAGGAACCTGAGAAGATCAGTATCATCAGGAGTAACTCGAACCTGGTGGAACATGGACTTGATGTCTGACATCATTACCACAGGTTCCTTTTTAAAGCGGGTCACTACCCCAATCAGCAAGCTTGTGAGCTCAGGACCTTGGAGAAGTTGATCGTTTAGTGATTTTCCTTGGTAACTGGCTCCACAGTCAAAAAACACTCTTAATTTTGCTTTTGTGGGGTGGAAAACTCCATGGTACGGAATATACCAGACCTTTCCATTGGCACAGCCTAGCTCCTTTTCAGGCACCTTCTCAGCATAGCCTTTGATCAGAAGCTCGTTCAGAAAGGTGTTATATTTGTTGTAAAATGTCGACTCGCTGCATGACAAGTTTCCTGTTGTTTGGCATGCAGATGGTGCTTTGCTTTAATGGAAGGCTGATCTAGTAATGGCCATTCAGATGTCTTACTGAGTTGCTGACTGATTCAAGAAATTGCTGATCTTCTCTTGACATGGCAGGTTGTTTGTCTAAACTGCACTCAGGAAAGTCATCTTTGAACTGTTGTTGCCAAAGCTCCTCTAGGTTCACGACAGAGACTCTGTTGACAGTGACTTGTGGATGTTTACTGTCTACAGTCATCTCACTGCTGCCTCCCAGTGGTCTATTAACGGTCCATCCCAGCATGGTCCTTGTTGCAAATGGTCCTCCATCCACACTACACACTACTTCCGATGGCTCCAGGGCTTTTGGCACATTAATTCCAATCAGGAGCTTGATTCCTGCATCAATTTGAGGGAAGTGAATGTGTTTAAGGTCAGGCCATTTTTTAATATTCTTTTTGGTAGGAATATTTCCTTTATTCACTGGCATGGACTCCTGTATGTATTCTTAGGAAAACCCAAGAAATTTGTATCTAGGCACTGCAGCCACTTCCAATCCTGACAATGTGTGGCTCACAACCTTCTGTTGGCCCATAGTATGTAGAAGAATGTGTCCATCTCTTCCCTGTAAGTTGCAGCCTGTTCATTAGACTTTCTGTACAAAAGACTGCTGTGCTCCCTTGGTCCAAAAAGGCATAGATGGTAACAATTCTGCTTCCCTTTTTAGATTTTACTTGGACGGGCACAATTGGCAGTTTACAATTTTGGTCCCCAATGCCTGTAAAACCACTTGACACCAGCATGTTGACACAGACTTCTGCATCCCTATCAGCTTGCTTTAAATCCCTTTCTCCGTGGAGTACAGTGGGGTGCATCAGACTACACTTTGAACAAGAAAGCAGTGCATAATAATTTGTCCTGTACACAAACAGCCAAAGTAAATGCCGTTTTCCTTCAAGAACTGAATCTTTTTCTCATGTGCCATTTTTCCCAACTGTGCACACATAACCACAGTGTGTCCTGCATCACAGAAAAATGCATGTACTCATCCCTAATCCTTTGAAATCTTTATCTTTGTTTGCAGACTGAGGCTTGTCCTCCACCGGTCCAACTGTGGTAGCGAAGCTGGCTCCTTTGGGTCGAGTCTGTGACCTTGGTTTGAATGTTCCCTTATTTGTTATTGTAGGAGAATCTTGGATATTGCCAAAGACAGGATCTGTTAGAATTTTGACTTGTTTTTCAATGAAATCGTCAATATCACTGAACTTTGCTCTTCATTGTTGACGTTCCTGCAGCTCACAAGCTTGACTTCTCCATCTGTCTCTGAGCTTATACGGCAGCTTTTTTTTTACAATATTCAGCATATTTGAAGGCACATCCAAGTCATGGAGATACAGCACATCCTCCATTGCATTGCAGCAGCCTCTGGGGAATAGACTGTAGTCCTGTAGTGCCTTCACATCATCTGTTGTTATTGCAGGCCATGAAATGGCTTTGTCCATGTAGCAGCATGTAACCTTTTGCTTGTTACCAAACTCTTCCTTTAATATAGTTTTGGCTCTTGAATATCCATGGTCTGGGTGTATGTATTGACAGCTCCTCACAAGTTCTTTGGCATGTCCATTAGTATGCTGTTCCAGGAAGTATAGTCGATCTGAATTGTTTGTTGTGTTTCTTTAAATTCCATTTTCAAATGCCTTTATGAAGGTGTGGTATTTTAACGGGTCACCATCGAATATTGGGATCTTTCTCCTTGGTAGAGCTGCAAGGCATTGTTGTTGTATAAGCAAAGTAGTTATTTCATTTTGCTTTCTCATAAAGCCAAAAACATCGTTGTTTTCCAAACCAGGTGTATATGTATTTAAATTTTAGGTAAGTTGTTGTTGGACGTACTGTGTGTTGGCTGTTTCATTTTCAAGCACTGAACATTGAGGTACTTTATAGAATGAGGGTGTTACATTTTCCATTACAGTGTGTTTAACACAACCACTCACACACACACACACACACACACATAGTAAAAGGCAGCACAGGCAGGTAGCCGCCCTGAGAGAAAGGGACACGGCTGCAGCCGTAACATTAATAAATAGTGCTTCAACTGAGAACTCTTTTGAATCCTCATCTTTTCTTCTTCCCATCAACAACCATGTGGGAAAAGGGTGAGAGGTAATTAAAGAATTGAAATCAGAGAGTTAATATCAGTCAGTATCTTCTGTTTGTGTTTGTTAAATTAGACGTAAGAGTGACCCTTGAGGTGATAGGAAAACAAGGGCGTAGGTTTGGTCTCAACATTGGTAAGGACAATATAACAGCATAACCTGCATGTTAATTTTTTTGATGGGGACAGGACGTTAATAAGACCAAACTGATTCAGTGAATGGGGGCCAGGGGGTACTACTTAATCTATACATGGAACTACATGTTAGCCTACATTGTCCTTCATGTACCACAAGAGTAATACATTGCATTAATTGGTTGTCTCTTTCACCTTCTTCTCCATTATTTTCATCTCTACACTGCATCAGTGTTTGGGCGATTATGGAAAAAATCTAAATCAAGATTAAATGAACTTTTTTACCTCTATTATGATTAATGTATGATTATCTGAAAAAAAATGTCTGCATAGGCTGCAAATAAAAATATTTTTAAATAAATAATTTAGAAAATAAGTACACTTTAATGAATAAATACATGCACTGATAGGTATTTGGTTTCAAAAGTGTAAAGTCACAACATGCTGACATGTTGCGTCTAGTCATCAGCCAATCAAATGTGCGTTTAAGGAAAAAAAATGGACCGGCACATTCAACAAGTGAAAAGGGGTAAATGTAAGTCAGAACATAATGAAAATAATTCACTTAATAATGGTAGTGTTGATTCTATCCTTACAAAATATAGGAAGACAAACTAAATTACCTATATAACTGCACTCATTATATAATGCAAATAAGGTTGCTTAAAGGTTGGTGGGGACAATTTGAGCACCCTGAAAAGTTGGTAGTGTTATGTCCCTACGTCCCTATGCAAACCTACATCCTTGTAGGAAAACCACCTTTTTTCCAACAAAAGCCATGTGACCCAAGCTCCCGTACATTACCACAGCAACCACAAACACCACGTGACACATACAGACTTACTACCTTGTGGCTCCTACATCCAGTAAATAGTCACACATGATTAAGTTGACAAGATCTGTGTGTGTGTGTGTGTGTGTGTGTGTGTGTGTGTGTGTGTGTGTGTGTTATTGGAGGCTATGCCTTAGCTTAAGAGTCTTAACGTATGAATATCTCATTGTTTCTGTATTTATTTTTTTGTTAATTTTCTTTTGAGTCTGTGTAGAGGCGTGTTGTGAAGATAGGACCCATGTTGACAGTGTTTTTGCTCTCTGAATCTATCCAGATTAAATTTCCATGCTATGAGACCAGCCTGTGTCCTCGTTTTCAGGAGCACCTGAACACAACACAGCATAGTTGGAGTGGGCGGTTCCGTTCAGGCTACACTAAGTTGCCCAAAGTGTGCCAAGGAGATGTCTTAGGCACCTTTACACCAGCTGCATCCTGAACTATTCATAAAAGGCAGGATGGATCAACAGTTTAATTTCATTTACACCAATTTCTGACCCTATTGGCTGAGCATTGTGGCAGAAACCAAGACTCATCACACCAGGCACTATGTCCCAATCTTTTATTCCCCAGTTTTAGTGAGCCTGCATGAATTGCAGCCTCAGTTTCCTGCTCTTACCCAACAGATGAGGCGACATGTGAGGTCTTTTGCTGCTGAAGCTAGTCTTTGTTGAGGTTCGACATGTATTTAGAGCTACTCTGTTGCATTATTAGGTTATTGCTGTCTGGCCTTTCTCACTTAAACTCTGCCATTGACAAGGCCTTTTCACCTCTCACAAGATATAGTTTTTTTTTGTTGTTTGTTTTTTTAAATTTATTATTATTTTTCTCCCTTTGGGATGATTGGCTATAAACTCGAAAGGTAGTTGGACATGACAGTCTTAATGTGACAGCAGTTCTCAGACCATTCAGACCAGCACATCTGGCTCCAACAACCATGTCACATTCAAAGTCATGTAAATGTCCTTTCTGCTCCATTCTGATGTTTGGTTTTAACTCCAGTGGATTGTTTGGTCCATGTGTATATGCATAAGAGCATCAATTCACCATCATAAAATTGGCTGTCAAGTTATTTGCATCAAAGAGTAGTTGAACAGAATACATACAGATAAGCCTCTTAGAATAGAAGAGAAATACAGTTTTGTTTAGCCTGAGGCACACTAACTTTCCTCACTGCAGCATTTACACAGAAAGAAAAAATGTCTCTAATGGTTGTTTGAATAAAATGAGTTCAGCTTTTTAAAAAGTCATCAGAACCCTGATTTTAAAAGTTACACTTGCAGACAGAGTTAAAGCAAAGTATGATGGCTGAACTTGGTGTGATGCATTTTATATGACCAAACAGTAGTGCACAATTGCGTGGAGTCTTTTGTGAGACACCTTTTATGGGTTTTTTTTTTACATTGTTTTGCCCTCTTTAAAGTAACATCCAGTTGCATGCAGGCTTAATATGCAGAAGAGCCAG